ACATACACATACACATACACACATACACATACACATACACATACACACACACACACATACACACACACACACACACACACACACACACACACACACACACACACACACACACAAACACACACACACACACACACACACACACACACACACACACACACACACACACACACACACACACACACACACACACACATATATATCATGTATATGTATACATACACATATACATATACATTTACGTATGCATAATTCAAAATGCATTTGGCAACACGATTGCAAGGAGGAATACTCTGTGTAGGCCTAACTTAGAATTATGAGATACATCTACATTATCTTTACCTGTTTATCTGAATATCCATACTTGTTTTATAAGGACTTAAAAAAAAAGGACATAACAAGCTGAGAGTCACACTTGAAACAGCAATTCAAATTAGGACTGCGATGAACAACATAGCCTAATGTTCATATCTTGGCAAAGGCCAACGGACAGAACTTGGATTAGTCTTTTACTCAAAGATAAATTACAAGGGAATCCATAGTCCTGATTTTACCAGGATGTAAGAGAATGATTGTTTACGTTTGCCAGAGAAGTACTAGGACGGGGCTTATGGCATCATTTGATTTGGCTGTATATAGCACACACTCACAGACACGGATAAAAAAATATATATATAAACAAACCTATTCTTTCTTTTCTTTTTCATATCCAATAATGTTCTCTTATGCTTTCTTCCTTACTATTACAACTGTTTCTCTTTGCCTTCATACAGCAATTCTCAATGCCTGGAATGAAGGTGTTCTCAATATGCAAATTTATATATATAAGAATGCATTCTACAATTCATTATACTATCTTCGCACGAGACTATTGCATTAATTCGGCAGCAAGTATTCAAGAGCACATTATAGTTTGCAGATAATGGTGAACATTGCTACAATATGGTTTGTATACAATATGGTTTGTGTTATATCACTATCTTGTAAATATTTGTAAATATGTTATTAATATTCTCTAACAAACATTGCAAGTGCTTCACTAACATAAATATCATTCAAAATTAACATAATAGAGAAAATAATCATATTTGATAAAGATATTGAGGTGGCTTCTTTCAAAATCAAAACCAGAATTTTCAAAACCAACATTTCCTAGAAAGAAGAGCAAAACTATAAGCCTATTTTTCGTCCCCAATAACAACTCCCCAAATTTACCTACAATACTAAGAAGGAAACACCTACACATGGACACACCACAAAGAACAGAAACCACAACCCGCCGCCAACAACAAGCCACGGACCACCACAAGCCCCAAGCCGCCACAAACAACCCCAAAATCCTCACAACTGTCACCACATCGCCTCCAAGCAAATAAAAAAACAAAACATTCGTCCTTGCATGACGCTGCCATTGACCATCTGTCTTGGTGTGTCATGCCTCTTGCGCCACGTTTATGACCTTGTCACGTGTTGCAGAGCATTCTGGTTGTAACGCTGTCATGGGAGGGTGCAATATGACGCCAAATAACGTACCTGGAGAGCAAAAAGAAGAGGAGAAACACGTCTAATCGATGAAGAGCGACATCAGCTGATTGTTTATTCTCCCACAATGCACCTGCTGCGAGGGTTACGGGACTAAGATTATTATTTTCCCGAGTTTTAGAGATATCAATAATATTTAGCGTTTTGGGACCAAAATATCTAATATCATTTAAATTTGGATATAAATGTTGATATTTAACGTATGGTTTACAATTCTGATTAAAACGAGTTTAGTATGGGTAACCCCTAGGATACAGTGTTACATGCAATGATCTCTACAAAAAATAGTATTATCTGATTTTACAACAACAAATAACAACCACACATGTTTGTGTGTGTGTGTGTGTGTGTGTGTGTGTGTGTGTGTGTGTGTGTGTGTGTGTGTGTGTGTGTTGTGTGTGTATGTGTGTGTGTGTGTGTGTGTGTGTGTGTGGTATGTGTGTGTGTGTGTGTGTGTGTGTGTGTGTGTGTGTGTGTGTGTGTGTGTGTGTGTGTGTGTGTGTGTGTGTGTGTGTGTGTGTGTGTGTGTGTGTGTGTGTGTGTGTGTGTGTGTGTGTGTGTGTGTGTGTGT